GTAATTCCAATCAGAGTCTCAAGAGATGTTTTTTTATAGGACTTGACAAGCTGATTTGAAATGTATATGAATGCTCAAAAGCCCAAGAATAGCCATGACATTCCCGAAGAACAAGATACAGGGAAGGACCCACTTTACGTGCAGCAAAGCTGTAAGAATGACAGAAGAGCAGCAGTCACACGGGGGTGGGCACGCTGACCGGTGGAATTAAATAGAAAACTTAGAAGCAGCTTAGAAACACACATGGACATTTGAGCTGGGACAAAGGTGGCACTGTGAAGCAACAGGGGAAAGAATCTTTATAACACGTGATGCCGGGACAACTGGATATCCATAGGGGAAAAAGTGGCATTGGGTCCCTCACAGCACACACATATGAAACAATCAAGGTTCTTTTTTGTTTTTGTTTTTTTTGAGACAGTCTCGCTTTGTTGCCCAGGTTAGAGTGAGTGCCATGGCGTCAGCCTAGCTCACAGCAACCTCAAACTCCTGGGCTCAAGCAATCTTCTGCCTCAGCCTCCCGAGTAGCTGGGACTACAGGCGTGCGCCACCATGCCCGGCTAAGTTTTTCTATATGTATTAGTTGGCCAATTAATTTCTTTCTATTTATAGTAGAGACGGGGTCTCACTCTTGCTCAGGCTGGTTTTGAACTCCTGACCTCGAGCAAACCGCCTGCCTCGGCCTCCCAGAGTGCTAGGATTACAGGCGTGAGCCACCACGCCTGGCCAATCAAGGTTCTAAGTGTGAAAGATAACACAGGAGAGCTTAGAAGACAATTTAGGAGGCTATCTTCAGGATTGTGGAGAAGGGAGAGGCTTCTTAAACTAGACACAGAAAGTACTATCCAGAAAAAAAATCATTGCTAAATTCGACTACTTTAAAAATAAAAATTTCTGTTCATCAAAAGACATCATTAAGAGAAAGCAAACATAAACCACAGCCTGGGAGATTTTTGCAACACATATAACCAAAGAACCTGTAACCATAATATATTAAAAAAATCTTACTAATTAGTAAGCAAAAGACGACCCAATATAAAAAGAAGGAATTTTATGTAAGCTTCACAAAAGAGAAAACTAAATCACCAATAAACAAATGAAAAGATGTTTAACCTCATTAGTCATGAGGGATATGCAACTTAAATGCACAATGTGTTATCATTAACCTGCAACCATACTGCCAAAAATAAGGAGTCTGGCAACACTGAGTATCGGTGTATTGGAGCCACAGGCCCTCTCGGTCACTGCTGGTGTGAGTGTAACTAGCACAACTGCTTTGGAAAACAGTGTGGAAGGTACACATATCCTATGACAGAACTATTTCACTCCAAAGAAGTCCCTGGACACGTGCACCGGAGCCCTATATAAGAATATTTACAGCAGCATTGTTCACAATAGTTCAAAACTGAAAATAATCCATATATCTATTTACAATAGGCTAGATAAAAATATCTTAGTATATTTACACAATAAAATAACTATTCATTAGTGTAAATGAAGTACTGATGTACACAACAAGGATGAACCCCAGGAACATATGATAAATAATGAAAGCAAGTACTATAAGAATATATTTAGTATGATTCCATTTAAGAAAAATTTAAATCATGTAGAACAAATCATTATTTAGGAGTATAACACACATGATATAGAAACATGAGAGAATGACCAACACATAGAATTTAGGATTAACAGGATTAACCTGCCAGGTGAGAGGCAAGGGGAAAGGATGGGAGACAACTGATAGGCAATATTATACAGGAAATTCACATACATGGGAAATACATCTACATATTTAATATGCATGTAAATATATATGTATAAATAAATATTCACAGGAAATTCACAGGCAGTATTAACGTTCTTTTTGTTTTTCTTTTTTTTGAGATAGAGTCTCATTCTGTCACCCTAGGTAGAGTGACATGACATCAGCCTAGCTCACTGCAACCTCCAACTCCTGGGCTCAAGCGATCCTCCTGCCTCAGCCTTCCAAGTAGCTGAGACTACAGCGTGCCACCATGTTCGGCTAACTTTTTTTTTTTTTCTGTTTTTAGTAGAGATGGGGTCTAGCTCTTGGTCAGGCTGGTCTCAAACTCCTGACCTCAAGGGATCCTCCCACCTTGGCCTCTCAGAGTGCTAGAATTACAAGTATCAGCCACTGGGACCGGCCTTAATGTTCTTTTCTTAAACTAAAATACAGGTATATATGTGTTAGTTATATTATTATTTTAAATATGTTTAATAAATATTCTCTTGTTTCTATTCAATATTTAATAACAATTTTTAAAAACACTTGAGTAGTATTGGTAATAGTAGTAACAAAATGAATTCCTACCAATTATTGAGTGATTACTGTGTACAAATGCCTTAAGTGAACAACCACCTTCTGAGAAGGACATTTTATTATTCACATTTTGCAAACGAGGACCTGAGACTCAGAGATTTAGTGACTTATTCAAGGTCACATGACTTCAAAGTGGAGGACTTGGAGTCCTAAACCAGGTTTGTCCAACTCTAAGACTGTGCTCTTAACCACTACAAAATATCCTTCCTCATCCCCTTCCTTTCATAGAGAACTAACCCTATAAACTCCCCCAAACTGGCTGCTTCTTTAGAGTTATAAACTTATTTTGGGGGTTCCCTTAAGAAAGGATTCTGGGTTCTTATGATCCTTATACTTAGGAAGTTCTTCCCAATTGTTGAACCTACTGTTCAGTCTTAGTTCTGCTTGGAGTGACAAAGTGTCTGAAATGGTACCTCTCAGAACTTTCTGGACCCCCGTTAAGCTTATTCGAAGTACTTAAACAGCAATTTTTATCATTTCGCAGTGACAATAAGAATGAGTAATGCTGGAGAGACCAGCTGCTCCTCCAAGAGCCTTCAGCTGTCTCATCTGGCAACCACTCAACAGGTGGACAGAGCTGGCCCTCAAGGTGGCAAGGGTTCCACCTCCACCTAGCAAGTGCTGACTACACAGCAACCGTGCCCTCCACTCCCAGGCTGCAGGGAGTCTGCAGTTCTGCTGGAGACAAGCTTGCTACAAGCAAACAGGTAACACTACAAGGCAGGGGGACAAGAGCCCACTTAATCTTGTTTAGGTTGGTATTGAAATGTTTTACCCAGGTTGGGAAGAAACCATGGGATTCACTGAGTACATCTGGCCCCAGCTTTTAATAAAGTATTCTTGGGAAGAAGTTTCCCATCACAAAGGAAGAAATACAAATATTTAAAAAGCAAACAAGTCATGGCTGCTCTCAGACCTGCTGCCATATGCTTTGCTTTTTTGAGCTTACGGCTTAACATTAAAATAACAGCCTTGCATTCCTCAAATATCTCTACTGCTGTTCCTTACTTCTACTACTTGAAAAGGCTGTCAGCTGCTGTCACTTGGAGGCATTACCATATTAGCCACCACTGTTTACTGCTTACTGTGTGGTATGGCTATTAGTTTAATAAGCCTCCTCTTGGATGACACCCTAGGCTGTGGAAGAAGGAACCACATGCTGGAGTATAAGTCTAACGAAGGGGGGAGAGAGAGTGAGTAGGAGGGTGGGGTGCAGGGAATGGTGCTTTATAAATATTGATGAGAGAAACTGAATTCAATTCTATTAGGTTGTACTTTACTGATGGGTAAAGCACTGAATAGTTTTAAAAGTGTTTTAACCATTTTAAGTTTCCCTGGGCTAATCCAGAAATACAGTCAGTGTGCAAAAGAGCAAGTTTGAGATCTGCAAGAAGTGAAACACTGCAGCAAAGCTCTTTAATTCACTCTGCATAAATAGCTGAGCCTACAAAAGAAATCTCTAGTCAGAGGTTTCCTGGATTATAACAAGAATTCTCTAGATGGAGAGAAGAGAAGTGCCCTTTTCACTTGAAGACAAAGAAATGTTTGTAATGGAAATGTGTGAACCAATTTTCCAAGGAGAGCTGCTGAAAAGCACTGATTAAAAACACAGTGAGGTGATGAGGCAGAGAAATAAAGCCAAAGCTGACCCACTTAAAGTTTGTGACTGCACTTACTTCTGAAAGTGAAGAAAGCCAGCCCAGGCCACCTTCTACATTCCCTCTCTTGTCCCCCACCCCAAGCCACTCCCCACCCCCATTACTGACCCTGCAATGCTGTAGACAATTAGAACCTTCCAGCGTGCAGGAGTGTTTGCTATTTCTGGCCACTGTGTACTGGTTACCAAGCTACTACCACTGAGGACAGAATGGTAACCCAGGAGCCCAAAAGACAATGTCCTTCTCAACAAAGCCTAACCAACAGGCGTGGATTGATTCAGTGATTCAGAGGAAAGATGTGAAGACAGTCAATAATTCAAGAATGCAGCAATTTATAATGATAATTCTTAGGTTATGTACAAATATTGGTTAATTTATTTAAGAAATTCTTTTCCCTAGAAAATAAAACAAAGGCACAAAAAGGTAAGGTACCTTGATCAAAGTTGCCTAAAATAGAATAATCACCCTGAGCTAGTGGAAGCCACACTGTACAGCAATGTTTCTCAAATTTCAGTCGTTGGAGTTTGTTTAACATAACTTTGCCATATCCAACTATATCTGTATTACTATTTACTTAATATTTTTCTTTAAATTGACTTTAAAAATTCTTAGTTGCCCCGTGAGTGGTAATTTCCATGAAATCACACTTTGATATATATAATATATTTTTTCTAATATACAGTTAAAAATGTATAACTATTAAAATACCAATGTTCATCCACAATCCATCTAAAATCATCTCATGCACTCCAATGGCACACATTGAGAATGAGTGAATAAAGCATTTTAACTAAATAAGGATGACCTAACACTATGTTGGGATGATATTTATTTTTAAATATCAGGAAAAAACAATGATAAAATTGGGTTTTATATTATCAACTCCCAGAATGTCCATGAAGGACTTAGACAGATTAGAGAGAAAAAGAGGGGGGGGGGGAAGTAACCTTAGTAACTTCTGATTAAGGGGAAACCGAAGCCCCTGCAGGATCACTCACATGAAGTTTTCCGGATATTCGCTCAGGGCCATATCCATGATGTTCAGAGCGTCATGGTAATGCTTCTGTGCTGACAGCAAGAGCGCGAGGAGATGCAGGGAGTTGACATCATCACCTTGAAGTTGAAGAGCTTGGCGGACATACCCCAGAGCCTCTGGTATCTAGTTGAAAGCAAAGCCAAAAAGGATTTTTAAACACACACACATGTGTACATGTGTATACACACACACACACACACACACACACACACACACACACACGGTCACACAAGAAAGAAGCCATCATTTCAATGTCTGATTCTCCATAAATATCAAGAGTCCTTTTACTCTGTGCCACGTTCAAATTTTAAGCCTGGTCTTTATGGTAGACCCAGGATATTAACCACAAACATGAAGACAGATGCCCTCTTCAAGAGCTAGTCCGACTGAAGAAGTGATACAAGAGACCCTGTTTCTCTACATAACTGCCAATACTGTATCAAGTGGTTTATTTCTTCCTAAATAGTCACTTTCTTATTCTTTACACAAAACTGATCTCCTTTTGATTATGCCCAAGATGATTTCACTCTAAATAGAGACACATACACATTGCCAGAGGTTTTTAGTGGAATTAAACTGCCTTAGCTGAACCATTCTCATTTTTTAAAGTATTACTGAAATTAAAGTGCTTAATAAGTTATAAAACCTTTAACAGAGATTTTCCAAATGATCAGATGCCTGTCATTCTTTTCTGGTTCCTTTGTCCTGGACCTCCATTAGACATCAAGGAAATATGCAAACAGACAAACAAAAACCACATACCTTTCCAAACTATAACCCAAAATAACTCAATCCAAGAAACAAATTGCAACGCCACATACAAAGCAGATATATCCAAATTCACATAGGACCAGACACAACCTTAACCTTTAAATATAACAGCTGTTCAAGACTTTCTTCAAAACAATACGAGCACAAGGCTTGATAAAACACACACATAATGGATTTCTGAACACCCTGGATTCCATGCAGGTTTAACAGTGACCAGAGAGAAGTAGAATCTGAAGCTGGATTTTGAAACAGAGCTGGAGACTGATGCATTCTTATGCAACTGCCCCAGGGCTCCTTCCTGTCATGTTCCGACTCCAGTCCTACTTGGAGCCTCATCTCAGCTCTCCTGCTTTTCCCCAAACCCTCAGTAACCTCACCCCTTAGGAGAAATCCATGCCTTTTCTTTCCCTAACATATTAGTTTTCTTCCCTGTACTACCATTCTTGATGGATTTGGGTTATAAATGCGAGCTTTGGAGGCTTTCTGCTGTTGAATCACAGAACCATGGCTGCCACAGCTGGAAGGGAGATCATCTGGCCCAGACCTTCATTTACAGGGAGGAGGCTGAATCCAAAGGAGTGAAATGACTTGAGTGAGGTCATCAAGATACTGAGTGACTGAGACGAGAGTGACTCTGTATCTTTCCATTCCTCTCCATCCTCTCCTCCTGGTCGAACTCCTTCCCCCGGCTGGCAGGGAAACGCTCCCTCGGAGCTCTGTGTTCTCATGCTAGGTGCCCACAAAGGCTGCCGCTGCACCCACAAGCTCCTTCTACTTATCCACTCCCCAGGCTGACAGCCTACTCGGTGGACAGCACTCAACCCGGTATCACCGGACAAGTCAAAAGGCACAGCATATGGTGTTGACTTGCAGGGATGACCAAGACCAGCAGGGACACAGACACAGGGCTCCAATGATGTCCTTACAGGGTAGCTGGCTTGAAGGAATACAGAGCTGGTTCCTTCATTCGATGAGTGTTACTGAGTGCTGAACACATGCCAGGCAGTGCTCCAAGGCCCAGGGTAAGTCAATGATCATGACAGATGTGGGTTCCTGCCCTCAAGGAACCTAAGCTCCAGTGAGGGGGACAGATATTGAACAAGAGAGCTGAGCAAGAGGAAGGAGTGCAGGCTGCTACAGGAAGGAGGCTTCACGGAGGAGGTGAGAGAAGCTCCCAGTGAAGCAGAGAGACCATGTGGTCAGTCACTGCCCACATCTGCTGCAGAAGCAGCTCTTGATCAGTCCAGCTGTGAGCCACACCATACCAGATGAGAGGACCTTTACAGGGAAGGTATCTTGGTTTCCTCAGTCACCAGGTTGCCAATGGAAGCCACTACTCAATGCCATTCCCAGGCAACCAGGAAGTCAGAGGCATGCCTCAGCCCAGGCCTGCCAGGGGAATGGCATGTCTGGGGAGCTGACCCTTCATTCACCCTCCCAGTCAGCACTCAGGAATGTGCTGGGGCTACCACCAATGACTTGCACCTGGTGGACGAGCAGGCATGTGGCCAGAGTCTCCAGAACAGCTGGGAGGGGATAGGAGGGTATGGGAATGGCAAAGGCAGCTTCTGGAAGCTGCCCTTGGGAAGATGAAGGCCAGCTAAGCTTGCCTCTCCTGCAAGGAGAATAGTGTAGAATCTCCTATTTCAAGTAGCCACTGTGTGTCATTGTTCATATTTTCCACATATTTTAAAGGACCTGGTATCTTTTGGCTACCTCTGCTGGCACCTTCCTGTCAATTTCTGATAGCCTTATGACAACCAGGCCCCAAACAGTGACTAAATCCCCACCCTGCAGCTCAGCAGTGGGCTCTGCTACCCTGTTCCTGTGTGCAAGGCTCTTTGATGACGCCTGGGCTCAGGGTATACACCATGTGCTGCATCCCGTGTTGCCAGCTGATCCTAGGTTGGGCTGTCCAGATTTGTGTGTGGATTTAATTTCCAAAAAGCAGAGCCTGGAACTCCTGAGTCTTCCCGGCTGATGCTCAAACCGACCAAAACACCAGGGTCTTCGCCGTAAGCAGTCAGCGTCCTCTGAGAAGGGTCCCTGGCTGCAAGTCAGACTCAAGTGAATGAAGGAAGGTCACCTACAGCCTCCAGGTGAAGAGCTGAAGGAACGGTATGGAGACACAGAGGGCGCCAAGGTGAGGGAGCATGAGAGCGACTGACCTGTCTGGAGATGGCGAGCTGCAGAGCCAGGTAGAAAGCTGCTTGGTGATCTGTGGGTGACAGGCTGTGGGCCCTGAAAAAATATTCATGGCTGTTAGTACACAGGAGAGGAGGCCAGTTTTATTTTCCCTATCGAACAAGTCGTCTTCACATTTGCATTTTTATACCAAGGCCACATACTTAGTTTTAACTATTTAATGTTTCATTTAAACTCTTCTTTGTCCACCAACAAAGGCAAAGCATTTTCCTCTCACCACTGCATACAGCCATAACACAGGAGCGTGCTTATGTGTTCTGCCTACTGCCCAACACTCGCAGGCTTTGAGGAGGGGCCTGGGGGTGGAGAATCCACAGGCCCTGGGGTCGGACCTCCCAGCGGACACTTTCTTCCAGCTGGAGCGGCCTGTGTCACGCTGGGACACGGTGAGGCCATGTGTGTACTTGGCACGGCGGTGGCTGCTTTGGTTAAGTTTGGCTTGGCCTTAACGCTACTTCATCCAAATTTCTGGATTTCAGAGAAACCATATGAAAATCAAAGACCCAGCTCTGCTCATAAAATGAGGTTTTGGTTTTTGACGAAAGGGAGAAAAGAAAGACACTCTTCCGTCCTTTGAAGCATCTACTAAATTCCATGCAGTTTACTGATTTAGTCCACACAACGGTGACATGTGAGACTGTGGTGAGACACCAGGCTGTTTCACCAACTGGCCTTTGACACCACATGGGAAGAGGCCACACTGACCTCCTAATGGATTGCAAAAGTGGTCTTTTTGTGCTTTTATGCGGAAGTCATTTGTATCTCAGCAAAAGCAACTCACAACGTGACTATGTACAAGACATAACTCTGTGTCTAACAGCCTGGTGGGAAGAGAAAAACAAACTTTTACTTTCTTTAAAAGGCACCATGGAGCAGACTAATTAGGTGGGACCCAGATAGTAAACAAATCTTCACATTGTTCTGTCAACATTCTGTGATTAAAGGAGGCTCTTTTACCAGCACAAAACAAATTCAAGATAAAAGAGAAAACTGAATCATTATAGATTCAACTGTGGCAAACAACCCAGGACGATGGCTTTCTACAATAACAAGACCTTTTACTCGAATTGTCTGTCTGCTGTGGGGAAGGAGCTAAAAAGTTTCCCAGGTATTTGCCTTCCAGAAAATATGCTAAGTCCACTAATCTGGGGCACTATTTGGGCCAGAGTAGTAGCTCATATGCAGGACTGGAGTGAGGCAGAGCTAGTTTTTGTCCTTCTATGAATCTTAGGAGCAAAGCACTTGCACTTCCATTCTCGGAAAACTTCCACTGGTAGGTAACCTGGCCTGAAGACACCGCCTTAGGACTTTTCTCACTCTAGTTTCAGAGGCTGAGGTTGGGTTTGCCTGTGTTGTCCTTTAAAATGTCTTATTTCTGCCAGAGGCCTACTCAGTACCCTCCAGCTTTTATAATTTTACAAGCATTGGTTTTTCATGAATTTGTACATCAAAGAATTTTTCCTTTGGTGTTCATAAAAAGTGAGATTGGAATGTCATGGTTTCTGTCTCTCACGATTATTGAGTGAATACGAATACAAAATTAATTATGAAGAGACTTTGAATTATTTAGGATTATTTTATCTCATTTTCTTTCACAAATGATAAAGCCAGGTTTCCCCAACCCTCAAAAAGAATTTCTTAGAGCTATAATTTTCTCAGCCCAATTCTTATTTTTCACAAATGAAGTCAAATCAACTCATGGTTGCCTCTACACAACACCAACCAAGTGAAAATCCGGCAATGGTTCGGTGAGTTGAGGGTGTGGGTAAAGACAGGCCTGGCAAAGGCCCCACCCTGGCCTCATCGAATGATCTGCAACTGTTAACCACAGCGCTGTGAAAGGAAGAGACCCGAAGCGCCAGAGATCTAGGTATTTCTGGGGTGCATTAGGGCAACATCTGAAGAATTCAGAACTTTTAGCAAATAATGAATATCCAATTGCCAGATTTTTAATGAGGCATGACGTACACATATTTTAAAAACCTCAATTTGGCTAATGACTTAAACTGACCACTTTAGCCTATGAAAAAGAAAAAAGGAAATGCAAATGAAATAAGAAAAAGCGCACAATGTTGATATCACGTAGAGGCCAGAAACCTTGCTGCGGTATTGCAGAATAGCGCCAACAGCTGGGCTTCCTGTGACAAAGCCCCTTTGGTATGCCCACAGGCTACCTGCCTGACAAAAACCAACACTGGACACAGGTGAGAGAAAGGACATTAAAGGTCTTTGAAAACTGTAAGCCTTCTGAACCCTGCACATGAATCTAAAAGCAGCCTCATAAACCCCATTCCCATGCAGTGAGCGCCTGTCCAGACTGCTAAGAGAAACCCAGACACCTAAAAACATCACCATAGGAACACTCAAAATGCTCCCCTTACCAAAGCACCTCCACATTCATTAATTCAACTTCTCTTTCGGGAGGAAGCGGCTGCCCATCCATCGATATTAGGCAGTACCTGTGATGTGACGCCAGGCCCCATGCCAGCCTCTGGGGAGCCTGGAGACGAATCATACAAGTGCCTTTCCTTGAGGAGCTCCCTCTGCCCCCGGGGGGAGACCCCAAGTGATCATCAGAGTGCGGTGCGAGCAAGGCCCAGAGAGAGGCACGCTGCGCTGCTACTGGAGGGCATGGCGCGGGCCTCCCAGACACCTGGCTGAAACCCAGGACGCTGTGAGGTCCATCCCAGTGCTCTCTTAGACTCCAGCTCCAACATCCTGTAGAGCTGAACCAAGAATATAGAGAACGCTGATCAATTCTGACCTGAGTCCATAAGGCAATAATAATACAATAATAACTACAATTGATGACGTATCTCCTATTAAGTACCTGGCCCAAGAACACCCAGCAAAAGAGAGAGAGCCAGAAGTGGAATGGAGGATGTGAGATTCCAAGGCCTGGTCTTTGTACAATACCACCCTGCTGGCTTGTTTAGTCAATGCTCCTTGCAGTCCCCTCCAGTCCTGATGAGAGCACATGGGTATATTAAGAACAGAAATGTGTAAACCTGGTTAAATCTATTACTCAGGAACCACTCACTAGTTACACACGGGGCGGGGGGGGGGGTGACCAACTTGTTCTGGCTTGCTCAGGACTTCCTTGGTTTTAGCACTGAAAGTCCCATGCTCTGGGAAGCTACTTAGTCCCCAACAAATCGGGATGGTCAGTCACCCTGTACACACCACGCTCGAACTCATGCTACGAGGGAGAGGGGAAAATAAAGCGGGATTGCGCACACTCGACCACACGGAGTGACACCACGCCACCTCTTCCTCCTGCAGCACCAGGCCTTCTGCATACTGCGGGTCAACGCGCTACGTCAAATATGCTCTCGACCGCTTTCAGGGTTCCTTTTCTCAGGATGTGACAGCACACGGAAGAAGCAACTCAGATCACTTCAGCATCTTTAAAAAGCTTTGTTAACAATATTATGTATTTCTTTACTATACTTTTGTACAGGGCAAATGAATTGGTTCAGCTGCTTGGGTTGAGCTTGTGAGTGTAAGCACAGCTGACAGTCTCACATTACGATGCAGCCACCCAGCGAGGATGTCTTTAAAAATCATACTTTTGAATCCACTAGAGAGCAAATCTTTCTGGATTCTGCCTCCAATCACAATTAGGAGTTAATTTTCACGTGCTTATATCCACAACCCTACCCCTTTTTGAATTACATTATTTTCTTTTTAAACAAAAAATGTGAAACAATAGTATAAACCAGAATTGCGGGGAGAATATTTAAAATATGTAGAAAAAGTACTTCTAATCCAAGTAGTTTTAAATTATCCATTTATATTTAAGAAATAATACAAATCATTCTTATTTACTTAAAATCTTTCCCTTAAAGATTTTTGTTAGGATTATAATTCACCAGAATAGTCCTGGTTAATGTCTACTTGGAACAAAATAATTTTATTCCTTTGGAAAACATTCTGTATTTCACACAAATACTAATTTAGGTTAGCCTTCCACAACATAACCAGTGAGGTTAGTGGGATTTTATTACTCTTTATTCCCATATGAACTAATATTTAAAAAATCTCTTTGAATTAAAACCTAAGCAGAAAAGGAACAAAAAAGAATTCAGGCCAATGGAACAGCTGTTATATAACATGAAGTTATACTGGCAGCCCAAGGCAGACCACCACTGTGGCTGTTTTTAGAGAGCCAGTAAGATGTGCTGGTTTAAGAAAAGTGAAGCAGATGTAATGACCACTTTCTTAAGCATCCATGTGTGGGTTTTACAAACTAGGACTGGAGAATTTAAAACTTCAGATCATTTGAAATGGAAATGCTTTCCACACTCCGTGCTGAAGAACATCAACAAAAGCTTAGCACAGAGACAGGAGATCTGTTTGCAGATGTCAATCGGTACTTTTTGTCATTAACAAGACTGGGGATGGTAAAGTCAAGAAGCTATCGGCAAGCCTGCTAGGAAACGAAGAAATGAGATGGAAGCAAGAAATGAGATGGAAGTGTCTCAGACTAACTGAAACCAAGTGATAATGATTTCAAGAGAAGGCCCAAGTGATAATGATTTCAAGAGAAGGCACATGGACACCACAACAAATCTGTAGGCAACCCCAGTCCTAAGAGTCTAACAAAGGTTATTGGATATTAGGAGGTCCTCATGAAATTTTCATATAAGTAATGACTATTAATAATACAATTCCAAGGAATCAATGTAACTCAGATATATTTAATGTGATAAGATCAATACCAATTCTAGATTTCATATCATGGGGCTATACTTTCAGGCAACGATTTCATTTTAGTGATTTATTATACCTGTAATAAAAGTAAAATTAGGGCAGTACAGTAGAGTAGGTATAAGAAAAACTGGGTTAGAGTCAAGAGACCTTGACCCCTTACTGACTTCAGCAATGCCATGACTGGCAATTGCCATCTCATGGCATTGCCAGAATTGCCATGACTGGCAATTCCTGTACCTCCTGCATCCCAGCCCCGGACCTACAACGGACATAGTGCTTGTCTGTCCACCTTATTGGTGTGCGGTGAGGAACAAATTAAATGGGGGATGTGGGAGAGCACTGTGATGCTCAAGCACTTTATAATTATAAGACATTATCCTAATTTCATGGGCAGCACCATGACAGAGATAGGTACAAGGTGTTATGGAGCAAAGTGGGGGCAGGGGCCTGGAGCTCGCCAGGCTGCCTGTCTTCCCTTAGTATTTCAGAGACTTCCTGAAAGCTGGCCTTTTCATTGCTTAATATAAAAACCTGCAGCTTGACATATTTTTTTTAAAAAGCTAGAAAAGAATAATCTCTTTTCTAGATGATGACAAATGTCTTTAATAAAGGGATCATTTCCCTAGACATACAAAGTATCTATCTTTTTCAAGCTGAAATCACTTTATTAGGAATGAATAAAATGTGCCCAAATGGATAAACAGATTACAAATGAAGATTTACAGGGCAACAAGTGATGCAGCAAATTTTGATACTGTATGTTCGGTGCTCAAGACGAAAGACTCCCAGGGGTAAAACACTGTTTACATAATCTTTATAAATATCTCTTCTTTTTATACTTATCATACTTTGGTGTCATTATGTACAGCCGAGTGAAAAGATGAACTCCCACTCACCTCTGAAATGCAAGAAGCGCCTTTCTCTGTAGGACCTCCTGCATCCCTCGCAAAGAAGCTAAGAAAAGGGTTCAATTAGTCAGTGGCATGGGAGATCAGGGAGTTTTTGACAAATACAAAACCTATCACAAAAACTGTACATTCAACTGGATTTAAACGCAATAATTTCTGAGTGCCTATGTGCCCGGCCCTGCACTAGGCACTGCAGAAGACAGGAAATGAAGCCCAGTCCTACCCCTGAGGCACCTGCATTCGTTAGACATAACTGTGGGACAATGCCAAGGGGAGAGTGTGAGTTGGATGGTCACTCTAGGTACCCCCAGGCATCTGGGGCTGTTTCCTAAAGATCAGTTGGGAACTCCAGAAGGAACGTGTCTGTCCTCCCAAGTGTAGGCATATAACTCATGGGCAGAGACTAGCTCTACCAGGATGGTATAGAGAGATGCAAGCATCAGTGGTGTTAGATAACATGGCCTTCAAAGTTCCTTCTGGCCCTGAGAAGCCATATCCTGGGCCAAGGACCTAGCTTGGTGCCATGAAAGGGTAATTTAATTCCCACTGAGCCAGGACCTTTAACAGCTTGATGTGAAAACAAGGGATGGAGCCGGCAAACCCAACACAGATACTGGAAAATTAGCTTAAAAAATTAGCTTAAAAAATGTGAGGCCACCTGGCTATGAGCCAACACTTCCCCTGTGCAGAGCACATGAGAAATGGCTCCCTTAAACCTGTCTAGGAAAGAAAGAGGGACTTTTTACTAGGGCAAGAAAAGGGTCCTGGAGAAACTTGTTTATGGTTAGAACTATAGGAGACCCTTATCTATTAACTCCAACAGGCAGCTCCAGGCCTGACAACAGACGGAGAGCAGTGGAAGGCTGCCCTAGGGCCAGATGTGGCCAGAGCCCATGGCTAACTTAGAACAGCGATGGAGCTAGAGAGAACCTTGGAGGGGACCCAACCAAATCGGGAAGGCATGACGAGGCACAACATGGTCAAATGACTCTCCCAAAGTTACAGGGCTACTTAGGGGTAGAGTTTGAACTAAGAATTGACATGAATAAAAGTAATGGCATTAAATTTACTCTTCGCTGAAAGTCAACTGTATTTAAAGCAATGTTCTGGCCATTGCCAATATATCATGTATATATGAAAAATTAGCAAAGAATCCAAGTTGAAAACCAATTGATATATAAAACTTCCCCAGGGTCTTTGATATTTTAGGGCAGAGGAAGTGGGGATTGGAGGTAATTTGTAAAATAAACTATGTAACAAAACTATAAAGAAAAAAAGGAGAAGTACTACAAAAGTCACGATGGTATTTTGTCTCAGGAGGAAGAGGGAGCTTGTGAAGGCAATGTGGAGGGCTTCCCAGGTGGCTAGCTCAGGCTGTCTCCTGAGCAGGCTGGTGGTTACAAGGGTATTTTGCCTTATATTAATTCATCAAGTTATACATTTGTTTTTGAGATCTTTTTTTGTATCTGTGTTATATTTAACAATAAATGTTAAAAGAAGAATAGTAAAAATTCAGAAAAACAATTTGTAAATTTATACTTTTTGCAAATATATCATTGAAAACTTCATTAAGTCTACAAAACATAACCTAGATTTTTTTTTTTTTAGCCAGAAGCCCATCCACCAAAACTCTAAGCATGGCCGCATATATAAATCACTGCACCCGAGAGCCCTGGCTATTTGGTGGGCCGCTGCATTGCACGTGTATGCATCTGTGGATTAAAACGTTTGAATGGGGAAGGGGCAGTTCCTGACCAGGCAAGGAAAGCTTCCTGGAAGTGTCTGGCTCTGAATTTTCTACATTCGTGTACCTAAGACTCCATATCTCTTCTAATGGAGACAGCCCAGGCCGAGTGCAAGGGCAGGAGCAGGCACAAGGCTGGGTAGGTGAATCGTCTTGCTCCTTGTGGCAGATGCCCTTGCACCTGCCGGTGAGGTGCCCATGCACTGGCAGCACAGTGCGCCTGGAACAGAGCCTGGGATCCCTGGCACAGGCCCCCTCCCTGCCTTCCCATTCTCCTGCCAGTCCAAGCAAAGAGGCACCCGGGGTCCCACATGACAGCAAACAATGACCCAACTTCTGCACCTTCCTAAGACAGAAGTGGTTTGCGGGAAGCCTGCAGTACACTCTCAGGTGACTCAGCCCCGTGGCCCAAGTGCTCCCATGGGGTGGGACCTCTCTCACCATCAGTGGCCTGCAGACTGTACGTGAGCCCCAGAGCTAAGTAGCCTTTGGCCTTGAACTCTGACGTTTTTTCTCCCGCATCAACGACAGTTTTGGCAAACTTTTCAGCTTCTTCCAACTGAAAAATGAGACAAATTAAAAACAATAACAACAACCTGCAGAATTTCTAACATGAGTTCTCATAAGCATCTGCTGCCAAAAATGGATTTCTGATGAGTCACTTTGAAAATAACTCCCAAGTCTTCCGATTCTACTCGGGTGACTCTGTTTTCTTTATCAAGCCTCTCTAACAGTCCCCGGGATTCCTACCTTGCTTTTTCTCTTTGAAGTTTTCCTTATTGCTTATTTGCCTTCTTTTCAAAAGTCCCTTTCATACTTGGTGGGGTTCTATCTTTTTCATTTTTATTTTCTACTGATTGGTTCTGTAATGAGATAGCATTAGGTATCCAGAAGATGAATCAAATATAATATTTTTTGTAAAGAATAAAGGTCTTTGAATGTTTTAAGTTTGGGTATTTCCTTAAATTTGGGTATTTCCTTTTTTTTTTTTTTTTGTAGGATATAAAGAATCCATTTAGGCTTGGATTCTCTTTGCTACAAGCTGTTAAAAATTTCAAAACTCCATCTATTTATTTTACAATATGTAACACATGGACCTCACACCAGCAGATTCCAATGAGAAAATGTGCACCTATAAACTACACCCACAATGAGACCTCTTGCACAATTCATTAGAGGCAAAAATAATAAGACATGTTCCTTCAGAGTATGGCAAATGTTCATGTTATTGAAGCTGGGTAACAGTACATGGGAGTTCATTATGCTCCTGACTTGTGTGATGTTTGGAAATTTTAATAATAAAAATGCAAGAAAAAAATATACAGAAACATTTGTTACTGTCATTTTTTAAAAGAGGGTTATTTCAGGCATTTAGAGATGTATATGTTACGGTAATAAAGAAGGCCATAGGTGGGAGGAGGGCAGCAGTCGCTGCTGGAAACGGGCATGCTCCAAACCCCTAGGTTGGGTCCACTCCTCCGCCCACTTGGGGGGGCTGCCTGCGATGCGCCCCCACTTGCAGCCCCGGACTGTCGAAACCTGCGAGACCACACCCCGCCTTCAAAGCTGTGTGTTTCAGGTGAAAGCCTGCTCTCTCAGAATGTCTTTTTTCTTCTACATTTTCCCAAACAGAAACTGAACAAAAGTGGAACGCTGTCTTCACAAGCCTTACTTTTCTCCTGCTGGGCAAGAATACATGGAAAAAAACCAAGCAGCAAGGACCTTAATGGTGAAAAACCTGAGTTAGCAAGATGCCTCAGTCTTTTAAGCAGATTCTTCTTCTTGCTAATCTTGATATGAAGTTAAAGAAATTAAAACTCCATGGTACGTGGCAATTATCTATACCACCATCTCAGCAATTAGTCTGAGTTTTCTATTTTCTACTCAAATTATGTATTTTTTTTTAGGTACAAGAATTGTTACAAATCAGGCTATTGCCAGACTCAAATCTGAACAAGAATATTTGAAGAAGTAAGTGTATGTGAAGGAAGAGAAATGAACAGAGTTGGATTTACACATGAGCTAAACGAGAGGGTGACTCTTTGCTCTATGGCAAAACCCTGGCTCAGCCAAAGGTAGATAATTCAGTGACCTATCCCTTCTCAGGCCTCTAATATTATACTTGCATAAAGCAAGATGCATCTGGGTATGAATTCCAGTTCTATCTTATCACCGCTACTCTTAAAGCACATTTGCATGAAAAAGAAAAACCCAGAGTACCCCGGGAACATATTGGTTCTCCTCCCTCCTTGGGGTGGATAGGTGAGGCCTGAGGAGGCCAGGGGCCGAGGCCTGGGGTCTGAGGCTCTAAACAGCCTCAGCTTTGAGTAGCTGATGAATTACTACCATTTTCTCTCTATGCTGCTACCTGAAAAGGGTTGGCAGCTCTGCCTTGGAGTCCCGTGCTGGGGGTGGAGGTGGCACCCTACTCACCCAGTGGAGGGAGCCCATGCACAGCTTGGCAGCCAGGAGAGGGATGGTGGCGTCGTCGGGCTTCAGGCGGATACACTCCTTCAGGACCTTCACGGCACGGGCGGACTTGGCAAGAGGAGATTATTTCTGTGAAACTCAAAACTTTTGACCGAACCAAATACTACAGCTTTTCCAGAGGGGCTTTTGGTCAGGAGGCCCTCTTAATGGGGCTTTCCAACTCTGAGCCCAACCAGGCAGGGGCCTGGGCCCAGTGAGGACCAGCGCGTGGGGCTTCTGGGTGGCAGGGGATAAGCTGAGGTTAAAGACAAGCAGGAATGCTGCTCTGGCATCACCTCAGTTTTGCTCCCTGCTCGAGTAGCTATTGGGGAAATAAAAGAAATATAGACAGTGGAAGCTTATGTCATCATAGAAAACAAAATATGCAATTTAAAGCACATCATACTAAATTTCTGAATTTACTTTGGTCAAATAATCGTGTATCTTAGACTTCATTCACAAATGACAAATTAATATGAAAAACAATCGCTACTACCTTTACTGAGTGTGTACACAGTGAGGGGTGCTATTCTAAATACCTTGCCTCATTTACCTGGGAAGAATTCTATGAAGTAGGTACTATTATTGCTCCATTTTACTGAAGAGGAAACTGAAATACTAAGTGACCTGCCCCATGTCACTCAGCTGTGAGGGTGGCATCAACCTTCAATCCCCACCCCACACTTTTGACCAATAGAATATACACATTGCTAAAGAGAGCCAAAAAATGTCCCCTTCCGGGAACAGGTTTACACTCAAATGAGCGAAAGGGTCAGCGTGAAGAACTAGCTCTACTGTAAGCCATGTCCATGTCACATGAAGAAGTCACAGGGCAGATGAAAAAGGCAAATATTTCAGAATTTTTCTCCTCAGTGATAGGCCCATCTTGGCCCCCAAATAATTCAATTTGATTGTTCATTAAGAAAGGACCATAGGACAGTTTCAATGATATAATACCTTTCAACACGGTATTATATAATTCAATGAGATTCTGTGACATTAACCATTGACATAAACAATTGCATGTCACAAAGAGCGACTCACTTTTCCAGCAGCCATCAGTGACAGAGCAAACTGGTACCAGAGGTGGAACTCCTCAAAGGCAAACTTCATGGCTCTTTCTAAGCACTGGTTTGGAAAGAAAAACAACGCAGACATCTGAGAATTGCTGGTGTCTCAACTGGACAAGTGTGAGTTTGTGTCTATGTGAACTACGAGGAGTCCTACAAAATCTGCTTCCCTTGAATACTTAAAACATAATCCTCCACCAAACAGCTCCTAAGGAGTCCCCACAAGATACCATGCACCATGCCAGAGGCCAGGATGATCCCTGGTCTCAAGTAGCTTTGTATCTGGTACAGGGAAGGAGGTAAATACACACATACCACAAATACAAGGCCAAAACTGACTAGTGTCCTCAGGGTGGGAAACAGAAAGTACCCGAGGAAGCAATTGTGGGAACCAGGAATGGCATCCAGGAAGAAGGCCATTCCTTCCCCAGCCCAGCCCCACTACAGGAGAGGAAATATCAAAGGCAGAAATCATGACTTCTTTGTCTTCCCAGTGCTGGTGCAGTGCCTGCCCACGGTGTGATCCACAAACAGACGCCCCTCTCAGTCAGCGAGGACCCTCTGGTCCCTGCACATAGAGTGACATGACCACATCTGAGCTTCAGGAAGATCACAGGGCCTCATGTGAGCTGTAAGACCACAGTGGAGGCAGGCCAGCAGCCAGGTGCATGGAATGGTCCAGAGGCTTCAGAACCAAGTGTGTCTGAGTTAGAATCAGCAAGGACGGGTCAGCTCTGGAGGGAGGCTGGTAAGGCACAGGGACTGAAGGAGTTCCCCACAGTCTCTGGCCTGCATACCTAGGAGCAAACTCATGCACAGAAGCGTGTGTGTGTGTGTGTGTGTGTGTGTGTGTGTGTGTGTGTGTTTGAAAGAGTGAAGGAAAGATGGAGAGACTTTTTTAGAATAAAATGTAAATGTGGAAGAAAGTGGTTATTCAGGAGTTTTGTATGGAGGACAGTGAGCTTGAGGTATCATGTGGTGATTTACTAGAGACGATTAGAGACAATCTGGGACCTCATGAAAAAGATCACCTCTTTTTTCTTTTTCTTTTCTTTTCTTTTTTTTGAGACAGAGCTAGAATGGCTGGAGTGCCGTGGCGTCAGCCTAGCTTGCTGCAACCTCAAACTCCTGGGCTGAACCCATCCTCCTGCCTCAGCCTCCCAAGTAGCTGGGACTACAGGCACGTGCCACTACACCTGGCTAATTTTTTTCTATTTTTAGTGGAGACGGGGTATCGCTCTTGCTCAGGCTGGTTTTGAAGTCCTGACCTCAAGCAATCCTCCCGCCTTGACCTCCCAGAGTGCCAGGATTACAAGTGTGAGCTACCACACCTCTTTTTTCAAATGAGAAGTTACTGTGAGTTCTGTGAGAAGTTACTGGAACAGATCAGATCACCCTAGAAGAATATTCTAAGAGAGGGCAACAGGGCCAGAACCTTGAGGAACATCTCTATTCAAAGGAAAGGGAGAGAAAAAGGACCCAGAAATGAAAGTGAAAGGGGAATCCTGGGTGGGAGGGGGCGCAGCAGAGTGTCACCACATAGATAGGTGCAGTCGGGTCAGACACAGTGAAGGCCAAGCAGCCCCTGGGAGTGTGGTCAGGTGGCCAAACCCTGTGAGTGTGGTTTTGGGGTGTATTGGAGGACGCAGGGCCTGGGGTCCAACGAGCAAAGAAAAGATGGAGACGTGCCCGTGAAGGACAGCTGTGTGAAGCAAAGGCCTGGGCCAGGGAAGGCTACTCCTCTATGTACTCATTTCAACCTGAGCCTTCTCTGACAGGAGAGGAACGAGAGGCAGAGTGAAGAAACTGAGGACATAAATGAGATCCCAGAAGACCAGAGATAGCCAGGTCCCTGAAACAAAGGGGCCCCCGCCTGAAGGCCCTCTCGTGTAGAGGCAGGTTCCCCAAATCAAGGGGAGACCCCGGGACTGTCTTGCCCAGCCGGTCTTCTGTGTGACAAGGGCTGAGGTGGTTGCTGGGAGGAAAAGAAAACAATAGGGAGGTGCAGGGGGGAAAGGAGAAAAGGAACAGCACTAAGAGTTTTAAAAAAGAACAGAAAAGGTTTAAACAACAAAAACCTCATCCTGAGGGAGACAGAGGCTCGTGGACATGCAGAGGCGCCGGTAGCACTGTGCTGCCATTTTCCCTTGTGATGCTCCGTGGCCAGCCCGGGAGCAGAGGAGAGCGGATGGATTCTCGGGGTTAGTGGATGGGGGAGGGGGGGACAGGGAGCGAGGAGCACAGAGCAGGTGACAAACTGGAGGCTCACGATAAAGGTAAAGTGAGGTGGTGGGCGAGAGAGAAAAGAATTCCAGAATTTTAAATAATATTCACAGAGAAAGCCACAGTAAATATGCTAATTGGCTTACCGTGAAAATCTACCCTAACAAAAATATATTATATTAAAAAGCAAAGTAATAAGTAGCTAATAAGCACCTGCTATATGCTCAGTGATGGTGTAGGGCAGGCATCTGAAGATCTCAGGCAAGGTGAACACTGGCAGCATGCTCAGCTAAACACACACGTGGACACGTGCCTCACTCTGGGGAGTGAGGTGTCGCAGAAGCTCCGGGGTGAGGTCTCCAGGAGAGCCCTTTGAGAGGAGGGCATCTCCGCCAGCACACACTTGGCCCGCAGCTCTGCCCCTTCAAAGCTGGAGGTGACTCGCGTGAGGACACTCGTCACCCACTAGGATGGCTGAGCAGAAAGAGAAGGTGCTTGTCCCTGATGCATGGCCTGGGACTGCTGCCTCTCGCCAGACGTTTTGTGGTGAGGGTCAAAATAAACTGTAGTTGGTTTAGCCACTGTATCTTGGTTCTGTTAATTACGTCTGGACACACGCTTGCTGGTACAGACACTCAGTGGCAGAGCTGGGCTCTGGACCCGGCCCCAGAGCGCTCGTAACCACCACGCTGCTGATAAACAAGCAGCTGTCACTGGCCTTAAGGAGCACAGAGCAGGGAAACGGAAGCACCCTGCTGAGAAGATCAAGTGGGCAAGACAGGCGAGGGGCAGACCTAACCCAGGTGTGGGGGGCACTGGCTGGGAGCAAGTGGGGGACAGGTGTGACAGGGAGGACGCCAAGCAATGAAAGGCCAACAACAGTACTTAGAAACCGACTTCGAGGATGAGGAAGGGGTGAGGGATGATGGAGGAGGAGGAAACGAGACTGATCGTCACAGTGGCTGAAATTAGGCAAAGGAGCCGCTATGTGGCGAGAAGAGGGGAGATGAGCATCAAAAATGAGGTTTGTTCTAACAGCCCAACTCAACTAATTCATTGCGATATAACCACTAAGTACTTAAATATATACACAGAAACACTGAAATGTTTAAATGCTTTTTCTTCCTCCTTTTGCTAAGAGGAATGATAAATATCAACTGTTTTCCTGATAAACAAAAGGAGCTCAGCAGCTGAAACAGTCTGTTCAGAATCAAAAAGCTAGATGCTATAAATAAGTGTGCATCCTTATTTTCTTTTGTGCCAAAGGCTAACGTACTCATTAGACTCCGTGAAAAACATTTACTGAAAGCCTAATTGGTACAGAGCTTCGTTCCAGGTGCTGCGGCAGGGAGGGCGGCCCCCGCCCTCAGAAAGAGCAGACTCACAGAATCCCGGGGCAGGAGGGAACTTGGGAGCATCTAGTTGAAGTCCCCAAAGGAGAGGACACTTGTCATTTTGGTAGACTATTACTTCAAAACTCTTCTGATTTGGGGGGAGGAGAGTGGACGCCCCCAAGAAGGGAAGCAAGAGGAGGGTGTCACATGAACTAGGCCCAGGCAGTCAGATGCTCCTGCCAGGGCTTTGAATCTGCAAGCAGTGAGGTCAGGGCGGAGCCACTGGACCTCGTTCCCAGTGGCCAGGCCTGGGGGGGGGGGGTTTGGAGACACAGTACCAGTAGGTTCAGCGGAGGTCCTAGGAAGAAACTGTGGCCTCCCAAACTGGGGCAGGGGGATTGCATTGTTGATTTATGCTCAAGTCTATTCTGCAGCCTCCTGTGGATCCTGCGGGCTAAACGGTACATATGGATAAACTCCTTTTCTGCTTCAGTTAGCAAGTCAGGGCCTATCACCTACAACCAAGGCCCTGAAGGTACACCCCATCAAATGCTTCCGGCTCCTCTTGTGCCAGCCCCTACCTTCCAGCCCCAGCATGCTGCTGTACAGCTTCTGCCTGAGAATCTCTCAGAATGGAGAGTTCAGAGAATCTAGGCATGCCAGATTAGGTGCATGAATTTGGGCAAGCCAATTAACTGCTCTAAACCTAGCTTCCTCACTGTAAAATGGGAACTATGATAGTAATTAATGCAGAGCATGATCAGGGAGATTAAATTTGTTAATACATATAATAGTGCCTCAGATACAGGCTAGTAAGTGCTAAATAATTGTTAACTATTGTTCCTTTTTTAAAAATTTTAGTATTCCCATATTAAGAAAGAAAATATAACAAATTATATAATACCTATCACTTTATTTTAATTGCTTTACAAATACTGCTTCATTTGGTCGTCCTAACGACCCTACTAAGTATAGGCAGGTACTATTATCGTGTCCCTTTACAGGCGAGGAAACGGAAGCAGCAGGGTGCTCAGTGACCACACAGGGTCTTAGTTGGTGGCAGAGTCCAGTGTGAATCGAGGGGTCAGGTTCCAGAGTCTGAGCCCTTACCCACAATTCTGCCTCTGAGGCTTTAACGACAGACACGCCACTCACACAGCTTACCAGGCCCACTCATGCTGCACAAGCAAAGAACAGCTAAATAAAAGCCCCCCTCAAAAGGCCACGTGTCTCCTGCACTATTCCAGAGACTCAGTAATGCTTTTCACTGCTAATGGGTGCCCCCACTCCCATGGCCTCTTTGGGACCCCTGAAGCTACTAAGGACTGAGATCTTTTCAGCTTGCAGAATTGCCACGAAACCTTACTGATCCCACGATCCACCAGCACCGTGGCAGAGGCGACGCCACATCTCCAGCCCATCCCAGAGGTCTCAGTCTGACGAAGCGCGCAGGGTAATACACGGCCTCTGCATGCAGCGACTCTCACAGGCCCCTGCTCGT